AATGCCTATCTAGCGATGTCTCTAATTTTTCAATTTCTAACGGGAGCATTTGAATATAGCTCTATTGAATGAAAAAAGTGGCGGTGTGCAGCTTTTTTTGAGCGGGGAGGGGTAGTGAAGACAGAAGAATAAAGGCTACAATGTTTTGTAATAAAGCTTTCACAACACGGGACCTTGCAGCACCACTGTTATTATTAGATTTACAGAAGCGTTCAATTATGTGTCTTAGGCACATGAACAAAGAAATTGCTGAGAAAAATTATAGCTTGCGATGCTGCAACGCTAAAAACTGAACTATTTGCTGATTACAGGATTTACGAAAAAAGTGGAGCAGTAACGTGACCTAGCATTCATGAAAAGTAACGCTTCATTGCCGCGCATTTTTTCTCGCGAAATTTTTTCCCGAAGCGCGCCCATAATCTCTTCATCAGCGCCACTGCTTTTGTTCGCACGGCTACGGTCGCAAAACTTCGTAAAAACCGAACCTGTTCAAATATGAGCATAGCCTACATTTTTGCAGTCATCGGTGGCTGAGTGGCGAACGCAGTTTGGGGACGATGGATGCCATAATGCCCTTCATTATGAACGTACTCAACCGTAATAGAAGGCGAATACATGGGTAAATAACCTTGAACACACCAACACGGAACTTTTATCTCGGCACGTCATGGTCGTCGCATCGCATGTGCGTATCCTAAGTGTGGGAATATGGGGGATTCGATTAGCGCTTAGGAGAAATCGGGTCATTCAGGCTTCAGTCACTACTTAAAAGTCTTACGTGGTGGAGCGGGGGGGGGGGGGGGGGAGAGGACAAAGAGTCTCTCCAAAGATAGGTCGGCAAGTTTCCGAAATTGATTTACATGCGTTATAAATTGCCAATACCTCTTTTTTGGCTTTATTCAATGCTGCCATGCTTATATTAGGTTGTCCGGAAAATAATGTCGCTTTTTATTTCAACATGCAAAATCGTGGCAGGGTGAGCACGAAAGTAGGTAAATGGGGGTACCAACCGATAGATCAAAACAAGATCTACAAAATGAAGCTCGAGACTTTGCGCCAGGTTTGATTTGCATGAAGTTTGGAGCCAAATTTCACAAGGGACTAAATATCTAAAAAACGAAAAAAAATCGTATCTTTGTTCAGAAAAGTCCTGGGAACCCCTAACTTGCTCACGCGTGGACTCACTATACGAAACACTCGTATGCATATGTTCGCGATTTTTTCATGGCTGGAAATTGAGAAAACGAAATTTGGCATCTTTTTGCCAAAGCAATCCTTAGCCTCTCTCAAATAGGTGACTCTGTAGTATTAACCTTTGGGAGTATAACCATATATTTTCAGCTTTAGACTTGCGCTAGTTTTAGAGAAAAAATTAATTGTTTGCAAAAACCCGAAAAACGCGACATATTCGCACTTTTGACCGATTTTTATTTCTCGTACTGTAGCCAAGGAAAAATACCACAAACTATACAGGTGAATGTCTAATGTAGAGAGTACATGCCTGTGCAAATTGGAGATCTATAAGACGTCTATGAACCGAGATACGATTCTTCGGATATCTAAAATTTGTGATTTTGGATTCGAACTTCAGGTGGAGCACGAGTTCCTCGTAGGTTTGTAAACTATCTTGTAAAGCTTGTTTTGCTCTATCAAATGATACCCCATTCGCTATTTTTTTATGATCATTCTGTTGAGGTAGGATGCCATTCGACATTATTTTCGGACAACCTAATATTTTGAAATTTTTTTGGAGGGCGGGGGAGGGGAAGGAAGGAAGGAGGGGAACCGCCATATTGTAATGGAAAAAATCTATGTAGCCAAGCAAAACTAGCCTCAATATATAGAATGACTTTGTCACTGACGGAAAAAATACCTTTTTTCGCCACGCCTAGCGGGGAGAGGGGGGAGGGGAGGAGAGGCAGACGCAGGGTCGTTACTACTACGCAGATAGAAAAACGTACCAACCATTAACAGACTAGCGTTATATTCGGAGCGGAGGAATGCATATATCATACACAAAAATATTGGCAAAGGTTTCTTTTGACAGAAAATAATCAAATTTTCTCTCGAAATGAGTCATCAACCTGCTTTGGAGTACAGGCGTTGTATAAAAAAATTGCTGAAAACGTCGTAAAAATGTACTTTGATTGCAACAAGGATATTGAAATTGAAATTATTTAGTTTTTTGTAAGACAAAATTTCTGTAGTTACTGGTAGGAGATGATACCATTGCCAACACAGCACGAGCTGCAGTATTTTTAGTTGAGGCACAATTTATTGAAATATAGAGTGACAGAACATACCAAGTATACCGCTATAAGTGGAACAGTTACAAGCTGGAAGTGATGAGAATCTCAATGTGCATTACCCTTCTTTGCACAAGATATGCTGAAAATATCTTGTCAGTCAAACGAATTTGTTTTTCTTCAAAATCTATCTGATGGACGACTAAAGGTTAAAGAGAAAAGTGCTGCTATGATAGAGATAGGATCGTAAGTGATATTCATTCGTCGTTCGTAATGGTAATGCCACGTATCAAATAATGCGACAGCCATTTATAATCATGTGGGGGTCGTTGTTATAGTTCGGGGAATTAGGAGGAATTCTTCAGAGGCAACAAATTTTCTCCTTTCGAAAATTAATGCATTAACAGAAGACAGCAAAGGCAAGGCAGCGTTTGTCCATGTGTCGGCGTTGCGCTCACGAAATTTCAAGCTCGTGCCAGCGCCGTGCCGGCCATGCAGATGCCCCCTCCTCATTTTATTTTAGCAGGACTCTGCTCTGCAATGGCGCTTCAGCGCGGAGCACTACTGGCGCGGGGACTCTGCACCACAACTTCAAATAACCTTTGATTCAACTGGATTGGCGGCTGAAAGGTGGGGCTTCGTGAAATAATTAAGGCTAGAGAATGATCAGAGAGCACGAGCGGAAAGAGTTGCAGACTACGTCGCGGACGGAGCGGTTATAATTAGGTCACAAGGCCCCGCCTTCCAGCCGCCAATCCAGTTGAATTACAGGTTATGTGCTTGATCCAACTATGTCATTTCACTCATACAAAAAGCTTAAATTTACGTCGCGGATAATTCAGATTTAATATCGCAGGCAGTGTCCGGACGGACACAAACAATCTAGTTTTATGGTTGGACATTCCGCTACACTGATTTTGAAATCCCACATTAGAGAGCGCAAAAGAGGCGAGAAAGACCTGTTAAAAGCATAAGTATAATATAAGTATTAGTCAAGAAGTGGCCGAGTTTTTTATACCGTTCTTCGTCTGGACAAACCTCGCACATAGTAAATGGAAATGGATGGATAAATGGACAAACCAAACTAACAACAAACAAATATGTAAACTTCAAGTCAACATTTGTAGAGGAGAAGCTGAATAGGCAGTAGAATCTCAGAGTTGTAAACTAGTTAGCTCCACCAACAGGGCAGTAGCCAGTATGTGGTTTTAGGCAACGACGCTATAATTATGGCAATCATGGACCATCGTAATAAGCGTCATCAAACAAAAACAACCAAAATGTCCATTCAAATGAATGTGCTTGTGAAAAGAACGGATTTTCGGCTTACCAAAGCCTAAAGTCAAAAAAATAATAAAATTTCTTTGAGCAATATGATATTTTCAGGAAAAAACGTCGTGCGACCGAAGAAACTACACATAAACTTTTGATCAGTCTTGGCTTACGTAAAATTAGTCTAGTCTTGCAGTGAAGGGAACATTCCACATTTGGAAAGTGCATTGGCTGGAAATGTGCATAGAAATGACATGTCCAGTCAATCCGCACGGCACCGAAAAAAGCAGTGCATGAAAGTTGAGCGGATAAGCTGGTTTGACGATTGTGCGCTCATTGCATAGAAAAACCATTTCCAGTATGTGGGCAGAAAAGTATAGACGTGTGGGATTTTATAGTGCTTATAGATGAGGGATTGATTAGGTGCAGGAACTAATTACATCTTTCGTCCGAAAATCTGCGCTTATTTACACCACTCGTATTGAAGTTAAATCAGGAAGCATTAGACATATAATAGTTGGTTACCGAGGAGTCGCAGAAAAATAGAAATCACCAGGCCTATAGAAAAAATCACAAATTAACAGGTTCGTATAGACTTCTATGAGAAAGATATTGCTGGGTAACGATATTTCAAGAAAATGGGATCGCAAATTCTCATATTTTTGCAATACCAATGATTTCATCTCCGACTTCAATAACGATTCGAACATTTCGCACAAGGTCTGGAAATTTTGGTTCTACAAAGTCTAGAAGACTGTCCTTTAGAGAGAATGCCACCATGCCTTGCTTCGAATGCCACTCAAGAAGCTGGAACAAAGAAAATAAAATTGCTTCTGAAACAACAACCAAATAATCTGCAGGTTGCTAAATTGCTTTATTCAAAAAGAAGTAGACCGATCATTCAACGCATTGGAATTTGCGTACTTTTTCACTTTTTGCATGCCTCACCGAATCTACGAGATTATCTCATTTAGATAAGATAGTCCATCAATCAACCTTTCTTTGAAATCGCTGTAGCCAGTCAATGTTCCAAGAATACGCGGAGCATCGTTAACTGCCTTTGTGTCGTTACCTACCTGCCTTCGCCTATTTTGCCTCTTCGATCCCGTCTTTTGCTTTCTATTCGCACAAAGTCCTCAACAAAGTAATTCTTGCAGTCTTCATTAATTTTGAAAAGTGCATTCGTGGTTCTTGATATGGGTTTTGACACCTTGAGGTTATCAGACACTCAGTGTTGTGTGCACTGATTTTTCTATCCTTGTTGGAAAGATTCTCTGGACAAAAGCTTTACGCTCTTTCCGCCTCTAGTAACAATAGTAATTACGAACAGTCTTGTTTGAAGACAGTTTCGTTATAAACTGCTACACTTTCATGTCCCAGTAGAAATTGTTTTCAAATTTTTACAAACATTGAACGAGTCGATAAGATAAAAAACTGTCATATTCTCACCTTATTTCTTGAACACTAAAATGGTTAAAAATTAAAGATATGCCTTGCAAAGATCTAAGCGATGTGGAGAAACTACTGTTGGAGTATATAAGCATTGAATCTACGACAGGTAAAGAAGGTGAGTAATATTTTTTCGAGAAAATAAATTATAAGTGAGTTCAAATATATTAGGGTGATCGGTAAAAAATGGGGCAGCCTGATTTTTATTAAATTTTGAGATTTTTTGTTTCGATCAACAACAAGCAGGCTGCAACGTAAACGTCGCTTATATAAGCTACGTTCGCCTATTATTCTGGCAAAGCGTCAACGCTCCTCTCCCACAACCCTACGCGTGGCGCCCTGAAGAACGCGAACAGGGTTTTTTTTTAACCTTGCTCATTCTTGCGCTGCCATACCGCAAAGTTATAGAGCAGTTGATATATCATTCGAAAGAGCTGTTCATGCTCTTTCAAACAATATATTAAACCAGGATTTCTTTCTATTTCTGGGTAAAAAAAGCGAAATACCTGGAAAATCGCGATTTTTTGGAACAACAAAAAGCAGTAAATCAAGTTTCACTCTGTATTTTCCAAAGATAGATAAAATGTGAGGTAAGCTGCATATGGATGGATAAGATAAAATGTGAGGTAAGCTACATATGGATGGATAGAGCGCAAAAAGCTCTTTCAGGTGGTACCTATAAAACTTACGTTCACCTGCAAAAAATTGAATAGCACGTATCTTTGTTCACAAAGCTGCTGATGACCATATCTCCTGAATTTGAAAGTTTACACCAGCAATCCATCGTGGGTCTGGTGACTGTACCTTCACGCATTGCAGCAGTAGTACTTTGGATGGTTTCGCATGTTTCACTGCGCAGATACTGCTCGAAGTTAATAATTTGACAAAGTGACTAACTTTGCATATCAGCCACTATAAAAATTATTAGGCACGTAAATGACCTTATATAGGTATTTTCTGAAAAAGAATAATTTATTCTAACATTTACAAAAATTGGAAAGATCAATCACTTTTCTTTTTTGAGAAATCTACATTTATTCTCTGGGTGCCCCATTTTTTACCGATCACCCTAATAAATCCGTTTTAGCGTAGCAAAGAAAGTGTTAAACGCTTGTAAAATACAAATGGTTGGACTTCGCAAATGACTCTGGTGATTTATAGGCGAAATTTAGGAGAACTGGGCGAGACGGTCAAGATGCAGCTTGAAGAAAACGGATGGATTGTTGAAAAACAGCCAGTGGATGAAAATTCATCAAGGTTCAACATTCTTGCCACTCGGAAACCGCTAGCAGAGTGTTGTAAGCAATTCAAATTTTTCTGTTATACAGTTTTGTATAACATGGACAGCAAGAAATTTAAATAGTCATTGCTAAATCAGAGTAATTATGCAGAAAATAAGTTAGTGAACAAGTTTGGAAGTTCCTCAAAATGCAAAAAAACGGGAACTTAGGCGAGGGAACTTCCTCGCGTCTTAGATGTATTTTTTGCAGTACTTGTTTATTTCAGAGCTTGCGTGTCATGTGTGGCTTTGGCTGCCCTCGGGAAGTTCCCATGAATTGTCTGAGAATGATTTTGTGAACAAACTATTGATGGTGATTATGGCCATTTGTGGCTAGCCTACTAAGTTACTATTTATGGCAAAGCCTTTGTTATTTAGCAAAACGATACGTGTATGAAACTTTCTTAACGATTCTTAAAGGTATTATTAATCATACTTCATCAAGTATGAAAACACTACAAGAAAAACATTTATTTCTTCTATCCGTGAATGATCCTATAACATCCGTTTTCAACGCTGCAGGCCCACGCTTACTCTTCAATACTCATTTCGATGTTGTTCCTCCATTTATTCCACCTACTGAGGATGCAGACAAAATCTATGGCAGAGGGTCAAGCGAAGCAAAAGGTAAGCACTACTTTTGCAGGAACATCTCATATAATAAATTGCCTTAAGGACAACTGGCTTGTATGATTTCTGCTGCACAAGCACTCGCCGAGACAAGACCTGAAATCGCGGAACAACTTGCTTTGCTTTTTGTTGTGGGAGAAGAGATTGACCACATTGGAATGCAGGTGAGAATAACCTCGCGTAGAATAAAACTAGTTAAAGTCTATAAATGCCTAGAATGTCTAGTCCCGAATCGTAAAAGCTTGACTAATTGGCAGTTTTCTATTTTATAATACCGTTTTTCTCTTCTCAGTATTTACTGATCTCAGTCAGTAAATAACGCAAGAACCATAAAAAAATTGAGCTCTACAAGGCCGGAACAGAAGTTATAGAAAAGTGCAGTTTCCCATGATTCATTTGGAATCTAAAACTAACGGTACAACGGAAGAGATTTCGAAGCCACACACCCTTAAAAGAGCGCTTTTTACAAGCTCCAATCTTGGTTTTATGCAAATTTTTGCTTATGTTATAATTTGTTCAAACAGTGAAAGATAATTGCGTCCGCACGCACTTATAAGTTTTTCGCTCTCAGATCCTGATCGATCCGAATCTAATTTTGATCCGAATCGTTATCCCTCATTCAGTTTCTACTGTACAGAAAGATACGGAGATAAGATACGGACTTCAGAATGCATGGCGAAATTTAAGAAAGAAAGTATTAGCCAAGCCTCTTATCAGCCAAGAATACATGTCATTTTAGAAGGCCAACGAATTTACTGCTCTAAAGCCAGATTATCTAGTCGTAGGCGAACCGACGGAGCTGAAGTTCGGCACAATCCAGAAAGGAGCACTGAAGGTAAATATAGGGATGATATGTGCAGAACCCGAAGCAATGCACATCATGCGAAACGTAGCGCGCGATTCGCGCCTGTGAGTCGTAGAGAGAGAAAACGGCGGGTACGCAGGCAGTCGACACATTGCACCAGTAGCCGCAAATGTGCATTGTCTGCGTCAGAGACTGAACCAGAGAAGTAATGTTCATGGTAGTCTTTCAGGTCATCATAAGGTGCAATGGAATAGCAGGTCACTCCGGTTACCCATCTGAAGGAGAAAGCGCCATCCACAAGCTGATTCCGGTTCTCAATGATGTCCTAAATTATGAATGGCCCAGCGATGAGAAAAATGGCAAGTTGAACTTTTTTCGATATCTGACCCTCTTTTTAAATCCTAAAAGATACCTCTATTCTTTTGCCTTTTATTTACTCTTTAAACGTTAGAGCGTGCTAAAAAAATTAAGCTAGATGTACAGTTGCGATATAATAGAATCATTGTCAATTTGGGTCCATTTTGAGAATAAAAAAATTGTAGGCACCAATTCTTTACTCAAGCAAACATTGCCAAAAAACAACACAATGAAATTTGCATAAAGTGGCTGTGATTGGGCACCTGCGTCCGTTTCGTACATAAGTAGAGCTTCGGTTTGATATATAACTTTTTTGGACACGCTGAACTATACATATTAAAACGCGCTTCATTTTTTCGCAAAAGTGTAGGCCAATAGATCAAGGGCGCTTATAAGTCTCAGAACCACTCCATCGGTCAACTGACGCGAATTCATGACAGCTATTTACACTGGCAGACACCCACAATAACAATATTTACGAGTAGCCGCTGCTCTTTGGGGGTTTTGTTGACTCAACTATATGAAGAGGGACTCTGCAGAATGAATGGGGGTCAACATCCCCGGAATGAACGGTTCTGGCATGTCTCGGTGACAGTTGGTCTTCAAAAATATCAGGAAAAAGAACAGAATTGAATGTGTACTTTATAAATCCTCGTTAATATGCAGATTCAAATAACGAAACTAATCACTTCGGTCGTAACATAATTACGTTTTGTTGCACTAGGGGGAAAATCTTCATAAATTGTTTTGGAAACTTTTCTTTTGCAAAACCACGGGTAGGGTTGTATTTTTTTGACATATCATGTAAGGCATGGAAAATCGATTTTTGTATGGTGTAAAAAACTTTTGAGATATTCTTGACAAACGTTCAGCTTTCATTATAGAGAAGTGTAGATTTCTGGGCTACCTCCTTATCAGCACAAATGCTCTCCAAATTCCAAGGAAGAAATTAAGAAAGCGAAAAATGAAAAGCTAGCAAGTTTTCGAGAGAGAAAGAAAAAAATGAAGGTGAATGCCATTACACAAATGCCGAGTTTACTGCAGTTCATGTCTGCAAAGTTGAAATGCCAACGGATTAGCTCTTCGTCACTTCCCACAAACGCCAAATCTTAGCTTTCTCAGTTTCTCAAATTTTCCAGAGGAAGGCAAAAGTGCAACATGGCTGTGTTGCGATCATTCTGTCTGATAAATTATATGGAATGTGCGACTCTCCATGATTCTCGGCATGGTATTTTGTGCTTTAAATATTATATTTCAGTATGATAGATAGGCGTTGGGATATATGAAGGTAGTGGAAATCAATTACAAAAATCCCATATTCCCAGAATTTTTCACTGTCAAAAATCCTGAGTGTTCTTTGATCATTTGACCTCCGGCCTCGTCAGAATGCTTTGTGTTTCATTGATTAAGGAATTTTTCAACATTGAAGAGAGTGTACTTTATGTGCTAAAATTCATGCGGAATAGAAATTTAGGAGCCACGACCGTGAACATAGGAATCATCAAAGGTGGCCAAGCGCAAAATGCTTTCGCAGAAAGCGCAGAAGCTCGGGTATTTGTGCGAGTAACCACATCTGTGGCGGACATACAGAAGAAGCTGGAAGAGATAGTAGCAGGTGGTTCTCAGACTTCGAATTTGAAAAGTATTGAAAAATTACTCATGTAAATTACAGTATCTTACAGATCGCGCCAGCATCGAAGTGCTGTCTTATAACGAACCGGTAGTGTTGGACGGTGCTCCTCTTCTTTATCCTACTGACCAAGTGGCATTCAACACAGATATAGCATACTACTCGAGGCTTTCTTTACTGAAAGGTCTGAAAATTTAGCTCTGGACTTTTTCCCAGTATCATATTTTTAGGCAAATACTTATTCGGCGCGGGATCAATTAAAGTGGCTTTCTCTCAGGGCGAGTATGTACCAAAGAAAGAACTGCACGCTTGTAAAGAAGCACTTGTTGCATTAGCCATCAAATTGTGCTCTTAGTTTCTTGTATGTCTGTCCGAATAAACCTAATACTCAGAATTCCACTGTTCTGCCCTGTTGTACCCTGAGGCCTCTGCTTTTGAAACCCATTTATTGCGACTGTAGCAGGTGAAACATTTTTTGCCTATGGAAGTTTCAAAAAATAGGGTCATGCTTGCTTCAGAACTATCCTCCAGTCATTTCTGAATTTGTGAGTCTGCACACTACTCAGACAATTTACGGAAACACCTGAAAACTTGAAAAAAAACTTTACGGAAACACTGAAAAGCGGAGTCTCCGGAGCGGAATCTTTGGATTTTTTCCCAGTAACATATTTTTCACCTGTGGAAGTACCGCTACCGTCGTCGGAAAGTTCTCCAAAAAAGCCTTCGGGAACCTTTTATGTACTGAGAGCTTCCGTGGGCCTTATTTACTTGCCTGTGCACTAACGTAAGAATATATTCTTTTCCGCGCTTGGAATGCTACCTCGTCGACGCTGCAACACTCAAAAAGTAGAAGAGAGCAAATATAATTTATTATTCACTGTTCATCGTGACAATTGTAATAGTTGCACAGGCACATTACAATCGCAATAGAAAATAACATGACAAAGATTAGACTCCAGAGGTCCAGACACAGAATGCAGAAAATGTTGTTCCTTGAACGTGCCACGCAGGTTGTGATCAGAACGTGTGGAATTACCTCAAAAGTGGTAATCAAAGTTCATTTAGGAGCAGAGCACAGTAATTGATTTGACACAAAAAAAGAGAGAGAAGTACCCCAGAGATTTGTCAACTCAATTGCTTTCTCAGGATACTAATTGTGGACTGATTTCCTAAGACTTCTTAAGTAGCAGCTTGTCGTGTGAATCTAGTTCTACTCCTAGAAGACTTCTGAAGAGAGACTTCTCAGTACCGGAGGCTACTTGTTCTCACCCCAGGAGTTCCTGCCCCAACTTGTGGAGAGACTTGTGGAAGACTGCTCGACTTATTCATCAGTATTTATACCCTTAGATCATATGCCACGTCATCATTGTTAACTGATCTAGTAATAAGGCTGGATAAGCTAACTTGTGTAATCAAGTTACTGGAGCAATGATAAACTGATGAGTGTTCGCTTGACTTGCACGTATTTGTCTGGTCAGCTACTTCCGTTGCGGAGTACTGTTCCAACATTGAAGTTTATAAACAAAATCAACACAAACAAAGATAAACATAAACATAAACAGAACAATCAACATGATATCATTCACAGTATGTATTGAGGGCGCCTTTAGCGACACATAATATGACGAGACGTAGAGAAGACTAACATACAGTCTGCTCCAATTGGGATCATTCCGAAGCGTCGGCGTAAATTTGCGCGCTTGCAGCGCTAGCGGTCTGCGCTGCATATGCACGCTGTGGGAGAGAGCCAAAGGATTGGAGAGAGCAGAGAAGCGGGCCGTGGGCGTGAGCGCGAAACTCTAGCGACATGGACTCCCGTCATGCCAATTTTGGCCTGGTTAAGATTGGGTTTGATGCTTGAGGTTAATAAGAAACCACAGTAGGACAAAAAGGAAAAAATAAGCATACAATACCCACACTAATCATTCGACAGAAAACGCAAAAACTGACGATTACGAATGCGAAAGAGTATACTGCTTAGCTCGTCAAGGTAAATCTTATTATATACTGCGCTATCGCTACACCGCTTTTAGTCTGCTCGATTTTTTTGTGCGAATGGGTTTTGTAGTGGTTCAACGCAACGCAAAACACACATAGAAAAATCTTGTATCCCTGTGGCAGAGTTGCCCCTGCAAATTATCACGCGTTAGAAGCTAGCTGGAGATCTCCTTTCCAAAGAGAAAGATAGGTAGGCAAAATCTGAAAAAAAAATCATGTTTCCCAAATTCTATTTACCTTAACTTTACACTAAGACGGTAATTTGCAAAGCGTGGTGTGTTATTCGTAACCAGCAGGCTATATAACCTCTATGCGTTTTCCAAGTCCGGGCCTTTTGATTTTTTCTCGTCTCAGGCTCCGAAGCTCACCGAGGATTGTTGGCCAAAACATTGATGATCTTGGAATAACCGGAAAGTTGCCAGGCTTTTCAAACCCACTGATTACGAAGATACTGCTTTTTGTGCACCGTAATTTCTTTCAGCAGGGTTATGGCGAGAATGCTAATCTGAAATCACGAGAGACAGTGCTGTCAGAGCATGCTTGAGCCAGACGCTCCTTATCTGTATTAATCGGCGAACTGTGAGCTTACGAACTCACGTCCTCATGAAAATCGTTCAAAATTTGAAGAGCGCATATTTTTTCCAAATTTCTCTCGAATGGTTACAGAATGCTTTGATTGCAAATATTATGTACATAAACATACGTAAATCGATGCTAATACAGCATACTTGCTTATCTCCTGTGCGAAGTTTTACACCTGTAGCTCAAAGTTTGTAAATATCAATAAAGTCGGTAAAGGTGATTGTTTCAGAAAACTAATATTGTATCCGTAATCAGCACCCTCATTCACCCACTTGTTGCGATTCCCAGCCTGGTCAAAGTTTGCAAAATTGGTGAATCGATGTCGACCAATAACGAGATGCAGTTTACAAGACCAGCTTGGCCCCTTGTGTGCAAAGTTTGGTCTGCATTGGTTGAGAGATGCGATTCTGTTATGAACATACGCAGAGGCACACAGACACATAACAAACAGTCATTCACTTACATTTAGTATGGTACAGATAAATAATAACAATAACAGTTGGAATTCTAAGCCTGTCAATCTTATCATAGAAATCGTGGGCGTCTCGTTGCAAAAGTTCATCACTGAGTGGAGATAAAAGCGTGGGTCGTTCACTATTTGCAGTTTTGTGCTGGTCATTCTTGCTACTTTACTTTTCTTGACACCTACAATGACTACTGCGGATTGGTTATCAAAGTGCCAGGCAACCTGCTCATTAATAAAATGTTCCGAAGATTTAAAACCAGAAAAGATGGCGAACAGCTCTCTAACAGTGCTGGTAGCACCCACTTGCTCTGGAGGCAGATTATCAGAAACTGTCCGTTTGTTATGAGCATCTAAAACAACGCTGAACCAATTCGGAGCTTACTCGGAAGCGTCCGAAAAAGCTCTGAAGGCATTGGAAATTTTGTGGTCAAGTCAATTAGCTCCTTCAAATGTACGCTCAAACTCTACCCAACTTTGAACTTCGGCTCTCTCTTGACTGCTCTGCGCCCATCTATAACCAAGTGCTGTGCCCTGTGCTCCTTCTCCGCTGCTTTAGTCACGATTGCCTTCCACCGCCTCTTCAGATTTGAAGGAATGACCAACTGCATTGAAGCTAAAGTGCTCTGCCATCTCAATCTGTCTAAGAGGGACGGACCCTATCGCAAGCAGTTTTTTTTGCCAGGTCTCTGCCTCTCCCTCCCGGGGAAGGTTGACTCTCATTGAAGACAGATCGATGTCGTGGCCCAGCCATTTCAACCTCTGCGACGGGACCGAGGTACATTTTTCCTCGGCTATCGAGAAGCCGCCATTTAACAAGTCCCTCCTGACTACAGACACTGCCTTTTCGTCCTGAACGCGTAATCGCCCCAAATGATACCATCATCTGGATAGATAGAATCTGAGATTGAAGGAAGCCATGAAACCTCTTAGGCGGAAGCAAAAGCAGGACTAGCAAAGGTCCTCAAACTTCGCCCGGTTTTTTTCTGAACACTAAGTTCCCATAGGTCCAAGATTATTTTCAATTTTCTGCCTATAGCGACGGGAAGGGGTTCCTAATGTCCTTGCATCAGACTTGACCAAAATTTGAAGCACTTATGCATCGCACCAACTTGAAACTCACTAATGAGCTTTTGTTCTCCACGACACTCCCTAGCGTAATGTCCGAAACAACCGCAGGTGTAACACATGTCCCTCGGTCTTCTTTGCGGCTGGGGAAAGAAGAAGTGGCGGGAGCCCGTGCCGCCCTTCGAAACGAAAGGACTTGAGGATGCGGCAGATAAAGAGCCCTCTAGGCCGCCGATTTAGTCGTCGAAGGTTTCTTGTCCCCTCCTTCTTCTTCTCCCCGATGAAAGCAGCCAGAATGGAGTTGCTTACTTGCATGAACTCCGCCTTGACTTGCTGATCATAATAATCAAACTTCTCCGGATCTGAGTCCGCCAACGTCAAAAGCTCGTTGCGTTGCATTAGCAACTCACTGTTCGCTGCAGGCTCCTCTAACTTCTCCCTCATCCGGGGCATATTCTAATAGAGGTGTCAGGGCGGAGAGCACAGATGTGAATTCGGCTTGTAGAGCTAGACCCGGCTTCGAAACTTGGCTTGACGGCGGAAGGAAGGTCTTCTGTTCCTTCAGCGAACGTCGATGAAGGGCCGGCAGCTATCGCGTTGACCTGAGCCAGCAACAGGTCATAGACCTCTCTGGACATCTGTACTACTTCTCCATCAGGCTCGGGTGCCGTTGACGAACCCATCATACTTGTGGCTAGCGATATCTTCCCAAACCAGAAAGCGACACGAACTGGAACTAAATGGTGCAGCATCGAATGCTCTCGAATGAGCTGATAAGTGTGCGAAATGTGAATCGGGACCGAGCTGATAGCCGGATAATGACTTCCAAAAGTTCGCAACAAAACAAAAAAATACTGCTGACGATACTGGGCA